TGTAAGAGGTCCGTAGTCTGGCTTCTGACTTGTACAGGCTAATCAAAGGGGCCTTGATAATTAGAATATATATATATATATATGTGTGTGTGTGGGGGTACATTATACTAGTGTTATAAGATGGAACCCCAAAAACCCTATTTTTGTTAACAAAAGGCCCCGACATTACGGAGTTTGAATGGTCTCACGGGGCGCGAAATTGCGAACTATGGCATGTCACTAAAGCCAGCTTCAACAAGAACTTCCTGAACGGCACCACGTGCTGGGTAGGAACCCCCTGAACCCAAAACCCTAAACCCTAAGCCCCGCCCCGAACCCTTAACCCTAGACCCCAAAGTCCCGCATTAAAAAAAAAACAAAGTCCCGAACACGCAAGCCTCAGCTCCGATAGTACGACCGCCACTGCACCACCAAAACCATCACCGCCATCGCCAGCACCATTGCAAATCTGTTGTGCACTTTGCTACTGCAGCTACTGCTGTTTCTGAGTTTCTGCTACGAAATTACTGCGAAGGCGGCGAAGATCATTACACATATATATATATATATGTATATATGTATATTTACATATATCTATATATATATATACATATATATATATACATATATACATATATACATATATATACACGCTGGCCCACTATTGCTATGTTATGGCCACTGACCACTGAGTCGTGTGTGATTCTTGTCCATCGCAGGGTTTCCGAGTATCAGCAGCGCTGTCGTGACGAAACGTATTCATAACCATGCTTGCTTTGATTGTCCACAAAATCTTTGTAGCTTGTCTTCATCTTCATTTCGTCATGCATGTATTCGTAGAGTGGTTTCAGGATCTGCAGGGCACAGGAGCACTGTTTTGGTGTTTAGGGATGCAACATGACCGAAGGTGACAGCAGTGAGGTGGACGAGCAACTCACTGATGTGCAGCAGGTGTGGGGGGGGGAGGTTGAGTCTTGCAGCAGTGTCCTTGTGGCTTTTTGGTTGGAAACCATCCTAAACCCTAAACGCTAGACTCTATAGAACTCGACGCCCTAAACCTTGAAACTCCGGTGCGAGATTTTCTCAAGAACCAACGGCAAAGCAAGCTGCTCCGGGACTCCGCAAACACCTCGAAAGGAACTTCGGTTCAGGTTTGGGCTAGACGCAACTGCGGACCAAGGCTTCCTGCATCACCTTCAACCTAGGGCATGGAATTTCAGGATGGCTCGTTTTGAAGTGTTGGTGGCACTGAATCCTTTTGATCATAGGCTCTCCCAAAGCCCCACACCTAATCGAAGGTCCAAAGCCTACATGGGACTGCATGTTTTTGACCATAAATGGCAGAAAGCAAAACCTACAACCACAGTTGAATCTGCCAGATTGCCGCGACCGGCCGTGCTTTTGCCGCCATCCGGGGTGACGGGAGCGTGGTGACATGGGGCCACAAGGTGCTGCCCCTTTTCAGTTTTACAATCCAAAGGGTCCACGGCCCAAGGTATCCATATAGTAGAGTGTAGGTTTTCTGTATTAGGAATCCCCAAAATGATTTGGGAAAGTATCCCCCATAACAGTACCTACGACTCTTGGGGTATGTAATCTGGCAAACGTTTGTATGGGATCTACAAGAGATCCCAAGACCCCTTGATCAAGAATGGGAGTAGCTGAATCAACCCTAAACCCTAACCCCTAAACCCTAAACCCCCAAGTCCTAAAGCTCTAAACCCTAACCCGTAAACCCTAAACCCCTAAACCCCTAAACCCTAAACCCTAACCCCCTAAACCCTAAACTCCCTAAACTCCCTTAACCCTGTAAACCCTAAAACCCTAAAAACCCCTAAACCCCAAAAATCCCCTAAACCCTTAAACCCTAAACCAATTCTTGCAGGGATCCCGGAGCCTGGAATCAAATGCTTCAGGGTTTTGGAGCTTTAGGTTGCGAAGGGTTAGGTTGCGAAATCTCCTCAGGTTTTAGGGTTTAGGGTTTAGGATTCAATGCTTGTGTTTTCCGCGTTTAGTTTGTTATGGCCCCGAGCCTTTGCAATTGCAGCTCCAACCTTTTTTGTCTTAGTAGCTGAGTAGGTAACCTTTAACCTTTTGGGGTTTAGATATCCTTACAAAAAACAGAAAAGCTTAACTTTTTTGGGGTGGGCTAGTGTACTCATCCCCTAAATATTGTGTCTACTAGGAGCCACTCGAGGTTCCTCTGCGCAGGGTCCGAAGCGTGGTTTAGGTTTAGGGTTTGCACCGAACAACTCGGGCGAATGTAATATCTTCAAGGCCATGTGGGTATTTATTAAACTGGGGGGTCCGCTTTGAGATCCTTTTCAAAAGGGTGCCGTACTATATTGGGCCCTAATCTGGAGGACTGCCCATGTGAATACAGACAATATCTTGCCATCAGCAGTTTGAAGATTCGACACCAGAATGCAGCACCATAGGAACAAGATCGAACCAGCAAAGCTTGTCTACCTAACACCTGCAGCACTGAAAGCATAAGCCTAAACAGAACGTTCTCCCACACAGTCTACATACATACATACATACATACATACATGCATACCTACATACATACATACATACATACATGGATTGGACTCAAGGAACCTTATAGGAACATTTGAACACGCCAGAACCCTAGACCGTCACACCCCGGACGTGCTGTATAATCGTCGAGGCGGCCGGAGCAGACTCAACTCCAGTCCAGGCAGAGCTGCAAGACGTTTGTCGCATTGCAGCTTCCAGGACTCACCACAGCTTCGAGTTTCGCGGCCCTAAACCCGAAGAGCCCTGAAGCCTATAAACCCTAAAAAACCTAAGGCGATTTTTACCGTATCCGCAACAATCAGGATGGGGTTCTGGGGATCATCATGGTATGATTATCTAGTGACAACAAGGGGATGGTATCACCAACTATTCCAACCCCTCGACCCATAGATAGGGGCCTTTTCATGTCTTGCGCGGGTGCGCTAAGATTGGTGAAGTCTCCAGGATGTGGTATCCACTTTGGCAATTGACTGGGTGTTTGGGGAGATGTGTTTTCCCGATTAGGGAGGGGGAGGGTGTCAGGAATGCCTTTGCTGCGATCACAGCTGCCGGCCATGTGATCACCTGGGGACAAGCAGCTAGTTTGCAGTGCATGCCTGAATGCTTCGAGGGTAGACGTGAAGACTACATCGTAAATGTCATCCAACGGCGTGCCCGACATGGATCCAAACGAAGAGCCAGTGAAATCTAAAGTTGGCTTGCAACTTGACAGCTCTGTCGTTTATCGTGGCACGAGGCACGGGGACAACCAACAAATGCTGAACTATAAACCCTACACGAAAAAACCTAAGCCACTAAGCCCCACGCCATCAACTCCTAAATGTCACACCGTCACACCCTCAACCCTAAACCCTACATATACCCTAAACCCTAAAATCCCTGCACCCTGAAGCCCCCAAACCCTAAACCCCGTAGCTCCTGCCCCCTGGCCCCTGAAGCCCGAAACCGGTAAGGCATCATCTGGCGGCTCCATGAGCGACGTGGAGGCGGGGAGGTGTATCAAACAAGGCTTTCATTGACATGCGGTTTAGGGTTTAGGGTAAGAGGGTCCATAGACACTACTATGATGGAGTGAGGTCCCCAAACCATCATGGTCTTTTGGGGCCTAATTCCAATACTGGTAATGTATATGGACTCCCTGGGTTACAAACCTGAAATCCAAGCCAGCGCCCGGAAAAAAAGGGTGAGACTTTTCTTGAGGTTACTATTACTGCTGCTACTACTACTGATACTGCTACTGAGACTGCTACTCCTACTACTACTACTACCACTACTACCACTACTACTACTACTACTACTACTACTACTACCACCACCTACTACTACTACTACTACTACTACTACTACTACTCCTGCTACTGCTACTACTGCTACTGCTACTGCTGCTACTACTCCTACTACTACTACTACTACTACTACTACTACTACTAGCCAGGAACCCCAACTCTGACGACGCCGAAATCTGAACCCGAAATGAACAAGCCTATGGACGATGGCGCAAAAGACCCTTCTATCTGTCGAAGGGCACCCATGAAAGCCATGGACCTTTCTCCCTAAATCTTACACCTTTGTCCCCCAACCATAAAGCCCTGAACCTTAAACCCCCAAACTCTACGACACTAGCAAGGCGCAGCTGTCCGATGTTCGCGACCAGCTACCACTTCGGCACGTTTTTTTTCTACCACCGAGATGTTAGCTTGAAAGTTGTTGGACCATTGGTGTGCTTCCCGTCGTCGTCGGATCTGGCAGCAGCTCTTGTCTCGGAAAGGCATGCCACCAAACGGTTTTGAATTTAGGGGTTTAGGATTTAGGGTTAAAGTTACAGAGACCTGTAAGACTGTAAGAGAATTTTGAATACAAGTAACTACTACAAGAAGATTTTATCGCTTCCCCCCAGTTATAAAGCTCGAACAATGAGCACACTTTGGGGCCCATCCGGCCGAACTCATCCCTTTCCTTTCAAGCCTAACTTGCATTATGGGGTTCGGAGCAGGAGCAATAGCAAGAGCAGGAAAAAGAGCAAAAGAAAGAGCACGAGCTGAAGCAAGAGCAAAAGCAGGATCAGGAGTAAGAGCAAAAGCAAGGACAGGAGTAAGACAAAGACAAGAGCAAGAGCCAGAGTACGCAAAGGCAAGAGCAGGAGCAAGAGCAACAGCAACAGCAAGGACAATGGCAAGAGCAAGAGAGCAAAAGCCTGAGGAAGAGCCGGAGCAACAGCAAGAGCAAGCGCAGGAGCAGGAGTACCTGGCCAGCACCGGAGCCGAGCCAGAGCTGGAGCAAGAGCAAGATCCCTCAAATGTGACAGCAGCGATAACAAAAGACTGCCCAACAATACATGGCGTTGCTATTGGGGGGGGGGGGAGGAGGAGGGGCGGGGGCCCACCTCTTCCGTTGAATATTAGGGGGTCTAGGGATTAGTTACCTTGCTTATAACCCCAGAGATAACACTCTCGTCGCCGAAACGCTAAAACACCGAGGAGAGATCGTGGGTTCTGATGGGGCTTTTGCCGCCCTCGCTGGCGATGGCCACGTCGTCACCTGGGGAGACTCGAGGTGGGCGCAGGGAAACGGGGTTTAGAGCTCTTGCTTAGGAGAATCAAGCAGGGTTTCGGGCAAAGTGCTTGGGTTCTGGACTTTCGCATGTTGTGCTTACTCAAAGGAGAGAAGCATGTATCTCTGGGGCTGCAGGCTGCTATCTACGGGTCTTCAGTTTATATTTCGGTCTTAGGTGTACGGGTTTTTCGACGCTCCGAAGAGGCGGTAAGTACAGGGCTCTGGTACTTACCAGTGTGGAAGGACCGAATCCCTATCCAGCATACCCTAAACCCCTAAACCCTAAACCCCTAAGCCAAAACCCCTAAACCCTAAACTCTAAACCCTAAACCCCTAAGCCTAAACCCCCAAACCCCTAAACCCTAAACTCTAAACCCTAAACCCCTAAGCCTAAACCCCAAAACCCCTAAACTCTAAACCCTAAACCGCTATACCCTGAATCCTAATCCTCTGAGCCCGAAGCACCGACGAAGCCCCAGACGCTCCCAGGTACGGTGGAGACATCCGAACGGTAAGTGAGCAGCTGGTCGATGCTCCCTGAACAGATGGCATTGAAGGGTTTCAGCATTGAAGGGTTTCAGGTTTCAGGGTTTCGAGTTTTTTGTTGTGGGGGGGGTGTCTAGTAGGGCTTGGGGCACGAATGTAAGGGAGTGCGAGTAATTGTTCTCGGTGTTGCAGCCCTTGCTTAGCTCATGATGATGATGGTGACGATGATGTTGATGATGATGATGGTGATGGAGATAATGTTGGTTACTGCCATAAAGAAACTGATCATAGCAAGTGTTGTCTACGTTGCCAGCTGCAGCGCGATGGTTGCTTTGTGCAGAATACTCTGCAGGGTGCACTCCGCGAGGTGTAGATGCGATGCTAGCACCGGAGATGCTTCCTTCACACACAACACAACAGAGGAAGTTGATACTGTATCTTCCCCGTGAACTTATAGATCTGAAGCTCACCTAAACTGTGGCCTAGGCGACAAGGGCCGACATAATTCTTGCCTTTACTGTAGATGTTCGAGGAGTCGGTAAATTGAGAGTCTTCCGTAGTGGAGTCCCGCCCAGAACAGAACAGAACGGCCCCTCTATACGATAACTTTGTAGTTTACATGACCCAATCCGAATACGAAAATCTGCTCTAAACGGAGCCCTAAAACCAGGTGCAGCACCTTTGTGCTTCGCGTTTTGCCTTTGTTGCTCTAAGAGCCGATGGCTCCGTGGTGCCCTGTCGGAATTCGTTCCGGGTTATGGGGGTTCGGGGGTTGAAGGATTTAGGAGTTTCGGGGTTTTGTGGTTTAGGGCTAATTCAGGGGTTTACACATTTTTGGGGTCTACCACGAAGATTTCGCCCCATAGGTTGTGGTGTTTTAGGGTTAGGGAATGCCACACCCAAGGAAAACCACGGAGTGGAGGCGTGCATTTGAGTCTCAAGTGTAGAGTAGGATTTCGAAGGAACGGACCTTCCTTCCTTAGAGACACGAAAACAAGATAGAGCCTACACTAAGCAGGAAAATGCAACGAAAACCCTAACACAAACACCCTAACACCCTAACACCCTAGAACCCTAAGCCAAAACCCTAAACGTGAGGCTTGGTGAATACCGGGATCCGATTGCGCCCAGACTTTCTCACCAATAAGCAACAAGTTCCTTAATCTAGGTGCCCCAGTAGTACATTTTTGCCCTTTTTAGTTTGGGGTTCCCCTATTAAAACCGAATATTAAGAAAAAGGGTACCCTTATTATTAAGGGGTTACTGGGGAACCCAGTAATATTGCAGTGAACGCCGTAGCATTGGAACGCTGTTCCGGGAGCATTGGACCCTTGCGACCCAAGTTCCAACTCTAATCTTCGGGCCACATGCTGTCTCAGGAACCCTTTGCCATCACGGTGTAAGCCGTTTTCTTCACGACCGGCAGGCGGAGCTAGATTTTCCTAGATATTTCCTGAGCCTGCATTCCGGAAACCACGCTGCTAGATATATCCTGCATTCAGCAACGGTCGGCGGAAACATCGATAACCAGAACGACTGAATCAGTGGTTCCGAAGCCATCCATGATTCGGAAACCAAAGCGGCTGATTCGGAAACGAAGCAGACTACCCATAGGCTCCTAAGTAGTTCCTTTTTGTGGTTCATATTTAGAATCCTATAAGGTAATCCCAAAAAGGAACTACTAAGGAGCCTATGACTACTTCGGAAACCGAGCTCGGCTTCCGTTGACATGAGTGTCTGAGAGTTTTCGGCTCAAAGATGCCCAGAAAAAACGTCCCTGAACCCAGCGTCAGAAAGCAAAAAACGTCCCGGGCAAACGCACCTTGCTCAGGGGCTGGCGCCTGCAGTTTCTAGTTTTCTTCTAGGCGCCCCGCTACCCTTGTCGGAATCTACCAATTTCCCACATTTTCTAGCATCGTCGTCCGAGCATTGCCCGGAATCTAACATTGTCTAGCATCATCTAGCATTATCTAGGATTGTCTGGCAGTTTCTAGCACGTCCTAGCATTGTCTAGCTTGGCCCGGTGATTGCAGAGTTAGTTTCGAGTCAGTTACCAAACAAGCTCACAGAAAAGGGCGTAGTTTCGTTTGCAGCTTCCATTTAAGGATATTTAAGGCAAATTGGCCATTAGCTCTGAGTCAAGTACCAAATAAGCTCGCAAGAAAAAGGGCACAGTTTCGTTTGCATTTGTCCATTTAAGGCCAATTGTCCGTTAGCTGTGAATCAAGTACCAAACAAGCTCGCAAAAAGAAAGAGGGCATAGATTCGTTTACAGCTTTCCGTTTATGGCCAGTTGCCCAACATTTTCGGAATGTGTTGTGTTTCCGGACGTACCCTTTAATTCTTTGCCATAAATCGTCAGCACATGGGCAAAATTGTCGAGTTCTTTCTAGTTTTCTCTTGCTTTGCCCGACGGCCGGGAAGCCGCCACCAAGAAGAAATGATGCTGGTAGGGCTGCTGCCTAAGGCTCCAAATGCTCTTTATGTGAAGTTCCAACTCGGTCGTTCCTCATTAAATTCCAATCACATCTCTGGTAAGCAACCTGCGGTCCGATATTGGAGGGCGGCAGGGCCAGGAGGCCTGCATCGGTACGTACTGACAGTATTCAGGAGAATCCGGGACAGCGCTGAAATTATATATTCCTCCAAGTATGGGCGGTTTCAGGACCGCCGTCCAAGTGTTTTCTTCGTTCGTACTGGTGAGTTTTGGAATAAGGGCCATAGTTCTTCGCCAAAGTTCTTCCCCCAAGTACTGGCGGATTGAAGGCCATGGCCAAGTAGCTTTCCCCCAAGTCCTGCCGAGATTCAGCAAGTACCGGCGGCTTCCGACATACGGCCGAATTCCTTTCCGCAAGAACTGGCGGTATTCAGGAAGATTCCAAATTCTTTCCAAGTACTGGCGGAAATCACGATCATGGCGAGTACGCCTCCCCCCACACTGTGGCAGGATTCAGGAGTTCTTCTCAGGAAGTACTGCCGGGATATACCGGTTGGAACCTTTCAGAGTTGGGAACCTGGAATTATGGAGAGTTGGAACCTCTGCATCCAGATAGTCGGGTGCAAGCAATCATAAACCCTAAACCCTAAACCCCTAAACCCTAAACCCTGAATCAGGGCATGCAGGTTCCAATTCTCTGGCTTCCAGCACATGGTCGCTTGCTATTGCCATTGTGTTTCATGATACATCGGAGTTTGCCTTGCCCTAAAGCCTCAACCTTCAAAAACCCAACCCTATTACCCTATAACCCTATAACCCTAAACCTTACCCATAGGCTCCTTAGTAGTTCCTTTTTGGGATTACCTTATAGGATTCTAAATATGAAACATAAAAAGGAACTGCTTAGGAGCCTATGGGTAAGCCCTATAGACCCTAAACCCCGACGAAATCAGAGCAAGGAGCCCGAGGAGGGGTACTTTGTTTTTTGGGGTTCAGGCACCTTCAACCCCAAGACCACCGCACCTGGCCGGTTTTATGTTCGAAAGTCTTCGGAGCTTGAGAACCTAGGCCTAAACCCTGATATTTTAGGTTTAGGGTTTTTTGGGTTTGGGGTTTAGGGTTTAGGGTTGGGGGTGTGGATGTGGAATTTGCTGTTTGTGTTTTTGTGACGCTGCCTCTGGCGTCTTCATGCTCAGGTCTCCTGGGGCCATGCTAGCGCTGGAGGTGACCATAGCAGTGTGCAACTAAGCTGCAGTTTAGGGTTTAGGGCAGATGCTTTGGGAAATCACGGTGTCATGTTCGGGGATTGGTGGGGGTTATTTGGGCTGCGGGGTTTCCAAGTCCGCGAATGGGAAGTTGCCAAGCAGGCTCCATGAGTTCGTGTTCACGGAGAACCCAACAATCCATGCAGAAGGATCTTCTCTAAAGCATCCATCAATACATTTTGAGAAATGTACATGTATATTGACATTTAAGTACCCCAGGGTAGCCCTGTAGACTCTATAAATGATGCCTCCCCCAAATCCCTAAATGCTTGATGCAAGCCTTACAGAACCCTTTATAGCACTTTATGCACTTTACAGAACCCTCACAGGAACCATGGGCCCCTAGACCTTAAAGTGCCCCTTATAGCACACTGTAAACGGAACTCATAGGCGAACCATGAACCCTAAACCCATAGAGTAACCCTTAAAGCACCACTTATGGCACCCTTGTAGGAACCCTGGAAAGATCCCTTAGACAAAAACGCTTAAACGATCCCTTTTCGGAACCAGGAGGCCCCTAAGCAGTTCCTTTTTGTGGCTTATATTTAGAATCCTACAAGNNACTACTGAGGGGCCTATGGGTAAGCCTCGAGGAGTGAGCAGCTGTATGACATCGTGGATGTCGCCGCAACAAAGTCCCTTGGGCTCTCACGCACTGCTTGGTTTAGGATCCAGGGGGGGTTAGGTTTTGGGGATACGGATGTGGTTGAGGGGTTTGGGTTCCGGGTTTAGGGCCTGTTTCGACGGGGGGCTCGAATGCTGTAACTAGAATCAGAACAGTGTTTTGCGGCATGTTGCAATAGAATAAGTAGTCAGACAGACCCCTATCTTAGGGAACCCAAGCACCATTGAGGGTTTTGGATGATGTTCTAGGCTTAGGGTGAGCTTAACTAGTTCCTGTCCACGCCTCAACAATAGCAGCACTTCCTAATACCCTAAACCCTAAACCC